TAGTTTTTTTTATTTTAGGCTCCAACAAGAGATTCTCTAGGAATTGAACTTTGAAATTGTTTTTCAATTTGCTTTCTATAGAGCTATTTGAATCTCATGGATTTATTTATTTTTTTAATTTTAACATTCAACATTGTATTTGTTAAAAATAAAGCTTTTCAATTTTTTAATTTGCCTTTTATAAATTTATCACAGTCTCATAAAACAAGTCACGAGTTTGTCAAGTTAGCCCAAATTGATTTGGGTTTTGTTTTTTATCCTTTTTTAATTATTATTTTTTATTTTATCATTTAGTATTGAGTTAGTTGAAAATCAGAGATCATTATTGTATTAATTTTTTTTATGAGGTTATCATAATTCATTGGCCTAGGTAGCGAGTTTAATTGGTTAATCAGAGTTAACTCGGGTAGTTTTTTTGTCATTTTTTAATGTAATATATTTTTTCTATTTCGTCTTTTAAAATTAGGTTGATTAGAAATTAACTTTTATAATTTATTTTGATTTATTTTCTATAGAGTTGTCATGGTCTCATGACTTAGATGGTAAAGTTGATAGGTTAACCCATGTTAATATAACATGTCATAATCTTAATATTTTAAAAAAATATAATCTAATATGTCATAATATTAATACTTAAAAAATATAATCTAATATACATTATATTTTGAATTTATAATTATTTTTTATTAAAAAATATGTTAGCACTGCTTGGATATTTCTTTTTACATTAAAAAATTTGATGCTACTCACAATGCAATGTGAACCAATGATATAGTTGAGCTCTATATCTCTTATTATTGTATTAATTATTTTTATTTTTTAAAATTATTTTTTCAATTTTTCTAACCATTCATAAAGCATATTTTCTATTAATTAAGATATCATTCGACACTACTTTAATAAGAGAAATGTCGGAGATACACGCTTCACAAGTCAATTATATAATTCATTAAATTTGATGATATTGTTTATATATTTTGAGTTTTAGCTACACAATTGCATCTAATTGATAAACTCATAAATTAATAAGTTAATAATAAATATAAATATTATTTCTATATGTAGTGATAGCAACATCATCATAATTATAAAATATGGTTGACATAGTCGGATTGAAAATGTTGTACAATTAAGAGGATAAAATTTTTATTATTTATTTATTTATTTTAGAAAGATTTTACTTGTTAATAAAGTATAAAATAATAGACAGGAATTTTCTTTGATCATACAAAAACTTGCGTATTATTGATCATACAGAAACTTGTGTATTATTTGAATAATAGTTGCGTATTTTGTTGATAAAGGATGTTTTTAAAGGTTGTTTAAATCATGTCCTCAAGCATATTATAATTCATAAATTTGTTATTTAAAATGGATGTTAATGAGATTTCATGATATTTTTTGTGTTTAATATAATATTAATTGGGTCACATAATGATGTACAAGTTAATTTGATCACATAATGGTGTACAGAGAACAACATTATTCATCTAGCATCTATCCACGCTATTTTTTTTTTTAATGGATAAAATGAAGAAAAAATAAGAATTATATAATTAACTCTATTCCAACTTCCTTTGAAATATTAATCATTGCCAACAAACGTGTTGTATTTTCCAATGACATTCTAGATATAGTACTTGCCTAGATAATGGTAAGTCAAAGACTAATTTTCTTAGACATTAAAAAATTTTCAAGGGTTGTTAATATATTTTTTTAAAAGAAAAAAAATAAAATTATATAAGAATTGATTTGATATAATTTAATTGACTTGACAGATTTAAAAACAATCTAAATGACCAAAAAAATATAGTTTAACTAAAAAAATCAAAATAACATCTTTTTTGAAGTATTGAAATAATAACATATTAGATCAACTCAAATTAACTTGTCAAATCTACTACCTAGGTCATCAAACCCTAATAATCCTATAAAAAGCAAATTAAAAACAAATATTAAACTTAATTCTCAGTCAACTCAATATTAAAAAATAAAATTAAAAACTAAATTCAACTATAAAAATAAGTCAAGTTGACCTGGATTAACTTTCCAAACCTAAGTCATGAGACAAGGATTAAAAAACATATTAAAACAAACTATGAAACTCAATTCATAATCAATCTAATGTGAAATTAAAAAACACACACACACACACACAAAAAACCTTCTATGTAAACAAAACAAACTAGTGACCAAGTCATGAGACTAGAAAAACCTCATAAAACACACATTGAAATAAATTATAAAGCTTAATTCTCAGTCAACCTAATATTGAAAGATAAAATTAAAAAAAACAAAACAAAACTCAAGTTAATTGGTTTAACTCACAATTTAGGTTATAAAAAATAGATTATAAAGTTTAATTTTCAATTAACCTAATATTGAAGGATTAAATTGAAAAAAATCAAATAAAAAAATGACGAAAATAATAATCAGGGTTAACATAGGATAACCTGTCAAACTTAGGTAAGGAGAACGAGAAAAGTCCATACAAAGTACATTAAAATAAATTATGAAGTCTAATACCTAGTAAAACTAATTTTGAAGAATAAAATTAAAAAAAAAAAATCATTCTTCAACAATTTATTTTTTTCTTCAATTGAATCCTTTAATATTAGGTTGTTTTGGGAATCATGCTTCATAATTGTTTTTCAATATTTCTTTTATGTTGGTTTATATACCAATCTCATAAATTTAGGCTTTTTTATCTTGATTTCAACCTTCAATATTAGATATGTTTGAGATAGAGCTTCGTTTGTTTTTAATTTTATTTTCTATGTATTTATCTCGATCTAGTGATCCATGTAGCGAGTTTAATAGATTAATCTAATTGACTTGGGTCACTTTTTAAAAAAAAAAATAGGTCATTTTGTATAAATTATAATTTTAAATTTTTTAAAAAAAGGTCATTTTGTATAAATTATAATTTTAAATAAAATAAGATTAAATAATTAAATAATTTCACTTAGTATCAATTCAACAACAAATTGATTTAATATCTAGTAACTTGTCATGATCTTTTAAATATTAGAAAAAGTTATAAATAGTTTTACCTAATCTTTTAACGACTAGTTTCTTATAGTAATTATTATCCTTTCATTATCTATGTTTTGATTTAGATATTATAGTATAAAGTACGTCTACTCTATCCAATCATATATGTTCTTAACACCATAGTTATTGATTCTTTGAATAAGATTTGAATTTTTTCTCAAATCTCATTCTACATTGCGTAAGGATTTATAATCAACGCTATTTAAGAATAAATATAACATTTTTTTCTAATTCACCTGAGGTAATGAATCCTCTATTTATTACTCAAACACCTTCATATAGTTTATGTTATACCCTGTATATGCTTATTTGTTACCCATGATTGGAACAATGTGTAACAAAATCAAAGTATAGCATTCCCTATATAAAATAACTTAGTGACATCAAGTATAAAAATCACTTATACAACCATCACGTTAGCCTTTCTATGGACATATGTGATCTCTTTATATGGAATTTTCATACAGGTCAATTCAATATACATGTTATATAACAAGCATCTATATATAAGTTTCACGAATCCCTTATACTTTAGCTTATGAGAGAAACTGTTCCTTTTATAAAAAAAAAAATATAATTTATAGTAGTCTTAATAGCTCTAATTAATATCTAGTCTTAATAAAGTATTGATCAAAAACATTTAGAAACAATGTTTTACTATAATAAGAATCTTATAATTATAACAACTTTATAATTTTCTTTGCAAATCATTTTTGTCATAATAACTTTATCTTTACTTTAAATTCATAAATCAAATATTAAGTTCATTAATTAAATATTTCATGAATATATAAATAAAACCTTTATTAAAATTAATTATGTTTACATAAATAAAGTTAATGTCAAGTGTAACTAACCAATTAGCTGTATATATTATATATACTAACTGTTAGTTTAATATATTCTGTGGTCATTTGGTTGGTTACACATGATATTATTATATTTATATAAATATATATTTATTATTAATAAAGATTTAATTTATCTTCAATATTCATATAATATTATATTCTATAGTATAGTGATTCTTTTCTTCATTTTCTTTTTTAGATGGGTAGAGCGCTACCAAACACATCATAAACCAATTAGAGCCTTCTTAGCTATTATAATTGAAACTTTATTTACTTGATATTTTCTTTATTAAAAAGAAGAAGAAAAGAATTGGAGATATATATATATATATATATATATCAAATAGAAAACATTTGATTCTTAATTATCTAATAAAAAGCTAACAAGTTACTTGTTAACAAGATGACATGTGAATACAAGTATTAAATTCATATATTTTTTAGTGTTTTTAATGATTTTAACATACTAAGATTAAAAATTTTTAAAAATATTATTTTAATATATTTTTAAATAAAAAATACTTATAAAAAAATCTCACATTATAATAAAAAACACTCATTCAATCCGATGATTTTTTAATTCATTGATGATTTTGTCTGTAAAAAATAGTAATTAACAGTGCAATTAAAAAGTGAACAGTTCTAGAGCTCTCTAAAAAATACTAACGAAATTTTTCATTAGTTATTCCTTTTATAGTTGAATGATGAACAATGTTCACAATTTACTAACTAATTTACTGATAAAATTTACAGACAGAATAAATTATGTCAGTATGTAATTATGTTAGTAAAAATAACACATCATTGATAAAATCTGTCAGCAATTTACTAACAAAAATATTGTCTCAATATTTTTGTTTGTATTTATCTATTTTCTTATAGTGAAAATTTAAAACAAAAATCATCCTTTAACAACCTTTTTTTTTCTTCTTCAATTTTATTTTTTAATATTAGGTTGTTTTGGAAATTACCCTTCAATTGTTTTAGTGTTTTTAATGATTTTAACATACTAAAATTAAAAATTAAAAAAAATCTAAAAAATACTATTTTAATATATTTTTAAATAAAAAATACTTTTAAAAAACTTCTCACGTTACCATAAAAAACACTCATTCAATCTTATTAATAATTATTGAATGTACGATAAATTCGCAGCAATTATGAAATAAATTAAAAAGAAAAAGAAAACATAGTGATATTTTATCCCTCAGGTGACGGGGCAATAACAGGTGACGGGGCAGTAACAGGCGATGGTGCTGAGGCTGGTGGAGCATTCGTGCCGTTGACACGAGTGAATCCGAATTTCTTGATAAGTTCATTTGCAATCAACTCATTTGCGCTGTCTGATGGATGGTATTCGTCCCAAAACACGTACTTGCTTCTATCCTCGCACAGCGTCGATGCCGGAAGACATGTAAGAGCAGGTCGTATTTGCCCAAAGGAGCAGCATGGCGAGTCCGCGTTGTCAAATCCTACAAACATGAAACGCAGAACTTGTCATGTAAAAATGAAGGAAGGAAAACGTCCGAAGCTACTTTTTTCTAATTTCCTCACTGCCTTGTCTTCAAAGCTTCGTTGCTGCAATGGCAGCCAGCTTTAAAGACAATTAATGAACTAGGTTTAAATTTGTCGAGACCAGTTTATATAGTTTTAGTGTAATATAACAAGATTATCATCTATTATATAATTCAAAAACTAATAGGTTTCTTATATAAAATGCATAAATAAAATCAGCTAACCAGTACCGGTGACCGAGTTAGAGTTTTTTAAATAAAAAAGTAAATTATTAATAAATAATATATTATATAGATATGTATTAAAAAGCAATTCAAAACATATATATTAATTTATATCAAATAAAATTAATTTAAAAATACATATCAATTCCTCAAAATCAAAATTTATTTCAATTCATATATATATATATATATATATAGACACTCTTAATATGTTGGTTAAAATATACTTAATCATTTCTAGATATTTAATGGAGCAACAATAACTAGTGTATGTGTAAGAGGAACAATGATTGGAAAATATATTTTCTACTTGATATTTTACTTATAAACAAATCATGTGAAAATATTAAATTTTAATAAACTATTGTCAATGTAAGAATAGTGGTTTTGCATGAATATTAATTTATTTTTTATAATAAAAAATACTTAATTGATTAAATTAATAGATTTAAATATTTATTTTAAATATATTCATATAAAAGCCCCTAAATTATCATAAATCCTAATATTTTTAATAACTAATTATAAAAAAATAAAATTAAAATTACATAATAAAAAAATAAAAAAATTTACCTAAAATATAAAGCAAAAAACAAGAAAAATTAATTGATGAGTTAAGCAAGAGGTAGGGAACGGCAAGTGAATAATATTTAACAGGGAAAGATAAAGAAAGAAAAAGAAACAAAGGAAAAAATTAGGGCAATGATGTGTTTGTATATGTATATATTAACATATGAGTTTAATATATTAATATAAAAATATAAAAAACAAATAAGGGGGTAATTTTTTATCCACTGTGGCTCGGCCACTGCAGCCAACCCGTTTATATGAATAAATGTTTCCACTTCACTTTAACTTTGATAGTGATTAATTAATATCTACGTAAATCAAATATCAGATTTTACTGTACGTTTTTGTTGAATATAATGGATTACGGAATTTAATAGTTCATTGCATTTACAATTTAAATGTTTCGATGAGTAATTTTAAATAGAATCTCAATGTCATGGACGCCGTTATGATTGTAATAATTCATTAATTATATTACAAGCATTAATTATACTAAAACATTATACTAAATTAGCACATGATTAATTAGAGCAATCAAATAATTCATTACAATTAATAAACTTTATTTTATAAAGAAATAACGACCAAAATTAAGGAACTTTCAAATAAGTATCAATTTGGAAATTGCTACAATATGTTTAGGATGGTCTCTGTGGTATTTTTCTAAGAACCTAGTGAACCCATTGGTCTCTGTGGTATGTTTAGGATGTTTAGGATGGTCTGTGTGGTATGTTTAGGATGGTCTCTCTACAAGTGATTCATAATGTTTAGGACGTTTAACAAATAACGAATATTTGTTAGACCCGTCAGGATTGATTTTTAAAAAAGAGTAGAGTAATTAATGAACAACTTCAGAGTAGCATCATAAAGATAATTCCTGCTACGACTGTCAGAGTAAAATTGAGTTGAGCTCAAGAGAAAGGGATGAAGCACACGCACCGTATTTGTTTGGATTGCTGATGACATCGTTAACAACATCATAAGCTTCTCCAAATTTGAAGCTAGCGTTTACAAGTTTGGTGGACAGATTATCTAATAACTTGCTTGCAGCTCTATTGAAAGCAATAGCTAGTTTGTTTGTCTTCTCTTGACATTTTCCGGTTGTGCTCAGGACCCTTTGGAGAGGGATGCAGCCCATTGGTCCCAGCCCGAAAACCATCAGCTTCCGTGCTCCGAAGCCATGCAATTTCTGTACAAAATTAACAAAATTAAGTACCCTTTGAAACTGAAAGAAAGATGAGGATATATGATCTTCTTTTCACAAGTATTCTCTCTGATTTTTAAATTTCAACTTACTCTTAGCTGCCCTTCAAGAGTTTCCATTAAATAATCAATGAAACTCTGATCATTGTACTTCCATGAATCGCTGTAAACTGGCATCAAATAATTGTTGATGAAGTCATTGCTTCCTAATGCAACCACATATTGGGATTCTTTGAAAAACTCCTCTGATTTTTCTTTCCCAATTTTGCTTATTATCATCTGCTGCGTTCCTTGAAATAACTCAATTTGCTTATTGAGAGAAAGCCTCTGAATCTGTCAAAATTAAGTTATATGGATTTAAATATTTGCAAGTCTTAATTAGGGCTAGCGTGTGTGTTCGTGTGTGCGTGTATAAACATATATATACACTCCTAGTAATTGATTAACTTACAAAGTAGCCACCAGTTTCATTCAAAATGCCACCACCTCCAGATGCATAGTTTACACCATTTTCCAGGATCAAATCTTCGGTTAAAGATGGGCTTAGAAAAGCAGGTGGTCTCGGTAGCCCAGTATTGTCACCTGCCATATATATATATAAGAATTATTATCAGGGAACTATATATTATGAGTAAAAAGTAAAAGAAAACACTTCTTTCTAGCTTAATTCGATCAATGACAACAAATTCTGATATATAGCTGCAGTATCTAATCATTAAATGATTGCGCGCTGGCATACTGCTAAATAAAGTATATAGTTGGCATGCATGCATGGTGAGCTCTTTTGACGTTACCTATTATATCAGCAACAGTCCGCCCATTGGTGAACCTGCCGTTGGGCAGTCCATTGCCAAAATCTATACCATACCATGGCAAGCTTGCCTGAGCAAGACTCCTACTCAGGTACATGTTGTTGCCGACATCCGAGAGTGAATCTCCGAAAATGAACTGAACAATCTTGCATTCACCTCCATCAATCGTAACTCCGAGGACAGCCACCACCACCCATATCGCCAAGGCAACCTCGAACTTCATTTCTTCACAGAGTAACTACTGGTGTCTTTCCCGGTTCTTCAGATTGTTGTGAATTGAAATATCACCATGCAGGATTTGATTTAAACAAATGCCAGAGTGAGATGCTAAAGATTTTGAGCAAGGCGTTGTAACTACTGAGGATATCTTGTGAGTCAGAGGGTAGATATTGTTTGATGAACAAATAGTTACACTGACCCAAACCTACTACAACGACCACGTACTCCTTGGAGTTCTGGTTTGTTACAACTTACAGCACCATCAAAAGTTGCTCTCTCCCTCTTATTATATGACACGTGTACTTTAATTAATGGTGGTTTCAGGATACCCATGTCATGTCTTCAAGCCCTTAAAATGCCTTTCTGATTGGTCAATTACTATATTTCCCTTCGTTTAAAACAAAAGGGCGAGGGAGTCCTTTTCATTTTCTGGCCACGGGCCACACCAGTATTTGTTATTATATTTTAAAAAAATTTAAATTTTAAATTTTTTTATTTTTTATTTTAAATTAATATTTTTTATATTTTTAAATGATTTTTATGTATTGATTTTAAAAATAATTTTTTAAAAATAAAAAATATTATTTAATATAATTTAAAAAATAACCACTATCATATTTCAAACATCCTTTTATCATATTTCAAACATCCTTTTAAAAGTATGGTTAAATATAAAAATTTTATCAAGATATTTTAGTTTTTTTTATAAAAATTACTTCATCAAAGTAAATTCATAGATATGTAAATTAAACATTTTTCTTATCAAAACTAGAAAACGTGTGTATTTGAATTTTTAGATGTAGAAGAAAGGAATTAAAATAATTAATAGAATAGTTGTTGAGAATTTATTTTTAGGTTTAAAAAACACAACACACCTACAACAACACGCCATGGTGACTGGTGAGCGTGTAGGTGTATTTTTGGTGAAAAACAAACCAAAATAAAAGGTTTTCGAAATTCAACAACACCGCTAGATTATGAAGGAATGAAGATTAAGGAACCGTGGACGACGCATCATTTTTGTCGTTCAAAAGCTTCTTCTCTTTTATTATTAATTTTTCTTCAAGGACGGGCCTGGTGTACTGTAGCCCATGCGCGTGCAGACCTTCTCCAAAGCCTAACGTGTTTATGCTGGTTCTTTTTCTTTTTTCTTTTTTATTTTTTTATAAATACCTTTTTTCCAATATATTTTTATTTTTTTTATAAAGGGAGATTACTAAAACAAATTGTAAATTTCTCTAAATTTTGTTTCCTTTATCTTCATACCTTTTCTTTTCACTTATTTCTTCGTGGTAATAGAATTAAATGAAAAGTTTATAAACACAATGACTAGAACAACTAAATATAATAAATAAAAACAACAACAACAACAATAAATTATTATTTATCATTTATTTGAATAAAAAATGATATTAATAATTATATATCTTATTATTTAGCTTAAATATAAATCACAATCTAAAATAAAATAAAGTTAAATAAATTAATTTAATATCAATTAAAAAATTGATCGATTTATGTTTTAAAATCAAGTATAATATAAATCAGTCTATCATGATCTCTTAATTATTAGAAAAGTTATAAGTTATTTGACTTAGTCTTTTAGTAACAAGTTTATCAGTGTAATTGTTATTTTTTCATCAATAATGTTTTAATTTAGATATTATAGCATAAATTGTGTATACTATGTTTAATCATATTTGTTCTCAATATCATATTCATTAATTTTTTGAATAATATTTAAACTTTTTTTTTTAATCTCATTTCACATATGTAAAAATTTATAATCAATATTAGTTTAAAATATATGAAATATTTTTCTTTAATCCATATAAAGTAATGAATCTTCTCTTTATTACTCAAACATCTTCATATAGTTCTTGTTATACTTAATATCTGCTTATTTGTTTCCCTTCATTAAAACATCATGTACTATAATCGAAGCACAATATTCGCTATATAAAATAACTTAATGATTTCAAATCTAAGAATCATTTATAGAACCGTCACGTGAGACTTTTTCATAGACATAAGTAATATTTTTATATAGAATTCTTATGCGGATCATTTTAGTGTACATTTCATTTAACAAATATTTATATATTAGTTCTAAATATTTATCATACCTCAATTTAACAATATCATTGCTTTCTTTCATAGTGAAAAGAACATAATATAAATCCGTATTAACAACTCTAACTAATATTCAATCTTAATAGAATATTAACCAGAAATATTTAAGAAAAATGCTTAAACGCAATAGGATTTTTATAATTATAATAAATTTATAATTTATTTTATAAAGCATTTTTGTCCAAAAACTTTATTTTTAGTCTAGATTTATAAATTAAATATTTGATAAATATTAAAAATAAATAAAACATATATTAAAAATAAATATATTCCTATAAATAAAATTAATATCACGTATAACAAATTAATTAGTTATATAACATAAATACTAACATATATGAGTGTAATTTCTGGGCAATAATTTTCAAGACTGTTGCTCCAACTATCACGTGTGGCATGACCTAATCATACGCCTCACCCCCACCATTTGATCTTCAACTTCGAACTTTTCAACTTTTCCTCCTATCTCTGGCACTTATCCCACAACTTCATGCTTGCATTACCAATTTAATTAACCGGTCAAGCATGAATGCATGCACAAGACGTGTAATCATGGAAGGACCTCTAGGATTGCCACATGTGACATGCCCACGGACATCAGAGTAGGTGGAAGCACCCCACTCCTTCTTGTCCATGCGAGGGTCTTTGATACATTCCTCCATTTCCTTTTTCTTTAAATCGTAATGCTAATTATTTTTGCATCGTTTAGTTTCCTGAGAGAATCGGTTCCTGTTACTTCTTTCTTCATTGCTTTTTCATTCCAATTCATTTACTTTTTATAAAGCTTAGGCATATTCTAGAAAAATTACAAGAAAACCGGATTATGAATTTGATTAATTTATCTGTAATTTGGCCTTATAAATATATACAATGTTTTTGATCCATGACTTGACATGTTTATGTATTTTGATTTTTCTTTTTTATAATTGATTGGATGGCTGTATTGAAGTTCGTGTAGCATGGGAAGCTAGAAAGCCACTGGTGATGGAGCAAGTGGAGGTGGCACCTCCTCAGGCTATGGTGGTTCGTTTGAAGATCCTCTTCGCTTCTTTCTACCATTCTGATGTTAAGCCAAGGTACGTGATTGCATTTTTAATTTTGAGAAATTAATTAATACTTAATCATGCATGTGATCACGGAAATGATATTTGTGTAGGCCATTGATATTATTAATTAATTCTAACTTAAAATAATTAATCAAATTCAATATTTCTCATGTTTGGGGTGATGATATTAATGTTAGTAAATCCTATTGATATTATCAGCTTTAAATTTTCATAACTTACTAATAAAATTTTAAAAAATATTGATATTAATAAAACTCATTGGTATCATTAATTATTCCCAACCAAAATAGTTAATCAAATCTATTTTCATTTCTCATTAATTTTATTATATGCTTTCTTTTTGGGCAACATTTATATATATAGAACCCAAAATTAAACAAACTTTCATAATTATGTACATTTAAGAAATATATGGGTGCCGTAAAAGTTTGGCTCATGCTTCCTTGATGTTATTGTACAGCTTTTATGATCTCTCATGTATTTATAGGTATACCATATTATTTCATATTCAAGTTATATTTCTTTCAATAACAATAAAATCAGCAAATATTGACTTCCCTTCAATAATTTCTTCCTTCACATTTGTGTTTTTCATTATATTCCTTAAAATCATTGTTTTATTTATTTATTTATTTAATCATAACTAACTTTATAAATCTCATTTTCAAACATGGCTTATTTTCTTTGAACATTAAAGCCCAAAACTACATAATTTTTTAAGGGAAAGAAACCTAATCATGCTTTTAATGCATCTAAATTACCCGTTTTAATAACTTGTGGTAATTGCCAATAAAAATGGCAACCCAATCTCTTCTTAAAGTTTTATCTATATATGGAGTTCTAGGACTCCAAATTAGATAAGGCCAGTCTTATTAGAAAACTAATATTCTTGGCTATAACATTTATGAAATAACTTCTTTTAAATTCTATCACTTTTAGGCTTGAATCTCCTATAAAAATTAGAAATATAAATTTATTTAATTTCATTAATGTGTGAACCCTTAAATATCTCTATTTTCCACTATCCCTCCAAAACAACTATTTTTTCACATTATAAACAACACATGACAAGCAATTTATAAAGAAGATTATAAATTCTTCTTTTCCAATTCACTCCCTAATAGTCAACCTTCTTTGCTTCTTTAATTGTTGAATTTTCTTTTTTGATATCTTTATATAATTTTACATTTAATACAATATTCAATACTTTAACTAATTCAATTCCACACGATTCTATATTTTCTTAAAATTCTACTCAAGAACCTTAACTCAAATTCAAGATTTACACCAATTCGTAATTGAATTCAAATTAGCTTACATAATCAAATTTAAGACCCTTTATCTTATAACAATTAAGTTTAAAACCCCTTACCTGATGACAATTGGACCTCATTCCTTAACTAGTTGAAAACTTTTGACAACTCCCTCTTTGCACACTAGCTGGCCCTCCCTCTCTCCCTCTCTCCTTATAATTTTCTTCACTTATTTCTTGTTAATTTCCTTGCCTAATGATGCTTTCCTTACCTTAATCCAAGCCTTGTGTAAACTTACTAAATTTTAGTGTTTTTCTTTTAATTTTTTATGGAAAAATAAAATTTCAATTCTCCCTTTTATTGTTGCTGCAACTAACCTTAAAGATAAGAAAAAAGAGGTATTTATAATCTCATTTTTTTTTATTTTATATTTGACCCCAGTTACTAAGTGTTTTATTGCTGACCCCTTTCTTTCTTCCTTTTATTATTTAAGTTACACTCCTTTTTATCTTTTTATAATTTAATCCCTTAAGATTTGAATATAATTTTTTTCCTTACATTTAACATTACCCTTTTTATATTCAAGTTAATTAAAACTTTTACACACACACACTAGAAAATTTTTCAATCCCCAATTTATTTAATTTGTACATTAATTATCTCATTTTCTTTCTTTCATCTATATTATTTTTAATTTATATAAAAGTTTATTCTCGGGTTTACACTATTCATTACTCATTGGGTAAGATAAATATCCAAAAAATATTAACCAATCCGGCCGGATCGAGGCGGCATCTATTGGGTTCAGATTAAATTGCAATCCCTAATATTAAAAATAAAATAAATAGTTATTAAATTTAAAATAAAAATTAAATAAAATTAAATTAAAAAATAACTTAAAAAAGATGAAATAAATAAAAATAAAAAGAATAAAAACAAAAATTAAAATGAAAACTAAATAAAATCAAATGATATGAATGAAATTAAAAGAAAAAATTATCCTATAAATGCAAATGAAAAGGACAAGGATCACATTGTATAAATAAAATAAATAAAAGGAAACTTGTGTACTATATCCAAGAGATGAGAGAGAAAAAAAAATGTGAAAAAAGTCTATCAAAGTCACACTGTTTGTTCTCTACTATTATGTTATTCTACCATTGAAAAAATCTTGATATATCATTTTAAATATTAATGTTAATGGTTGTGTTTAACAGCAAGAAAAATCTGCATGCACCACTCAAAAACCAAGAAATATTTTAACTTGTTAAGTATATGCGATACACATTTTAATAACCTTTTTTTTTTTATCAAATATATTTTATATATTATAAAAAAATCCAACCACCCCTAACTCTAACCAACAATTGCCAAAAAAAAATACCTAAAGGAAAGTGACGAAACATCTAGACCTAAATAAAAGAAAAGCAACATTATAAGAGTATTCACTTAATTACATTGTTAAAAAAAAATTACAAAACCAAAAACACAAGTTGTATTTTTTGTTTTTAAAAGATAAATTAATAATTTAATTATTCAATAAAAATATAAAAAAGATTAATTTACTCCAAATAAATTGATAATATCATTTTAACCCGTGAAAAGACTTTTTTTTCTCTCTCTCAAAACTCAGCCTTTTTCATGCATATATGTTGGGCAAAATTATTAGTGCATTGTAATAATCCACGTTGCCGTCTGTCTTGTTTTACACGGAAAGGCTGATGGGTTTATTTATTTTTTTAATAATAAAAATAAAAATATAATTAAATTATTAAGAACATCCCCCGAAATCTACATGCAATATCCATATCCAATCTATACCATTCACTTTGTTAATCCAACAGCCAGCGTCTCCTCATATCCAAAACCTTATCCACCAGAAATCTTGGAACTCGTACAAGAATTACCAAGAAAATCCAAGTACGTACCAATACTTAAGATATCAGAAAAGATGAACAATATATTTTAAAAGGCTCAAAAACACTCTCAAGCGCAACCGTAACAAAATGGCTTCTTCCGTTGTCTTCAAATCCTTCACCGGACTCCGGCACTCCTCCCAGGAACATCCCAAAGTGCTCCATTCCCACACAAACCCCATATCCTCTTTCTCATACCGCCGCTTTCGAATCACAGCCAGCAAGAC